GACCACAGGCAGGTGGGCTGTGGCTGGAGGAGGTGGGCCACTGGGGGTGTGCCTTTGGGTTTATACCTGTCCCTGTTCTCTCTTCTTGGTGGCCATGCGTTCTCTGCCCTGCACTTCGGCATCTCCTCAGGCACAGAGCAAGGCAGTCGGCCATCGATGCTCTGAACCTCTGAACCCTGAGCACCGAAGCTTCTCCTCCTCTAAGTGTTCTTGCCAGGTCTTTAGGTCACAGTGAAGAAGCAGGCTGCTGAAACAGAGTGACAGTCCGAACCTCAGGCCCACTGATGCTTCCCGAGCCCTAAAATGTCTGAGCTCCGGAATATAAAGAGAAAAGGAAAACCATCACAGAATCAGAATCAGTCGATGTCTGATTAAACATGTAGAAACCCTAACAATGAGTCAAGTCCATTAACTGTCCCATTCAGTCATGGAAAAAATCTCACAGCACTCCATTGTACTTGAAGAAGAGAATTTACAGGAGAGATTTTATCCTTTGCTAAGAATTTCCAAGAAGAATGCTCAGTGGAGAGATTGTGCCAGTGGAATTAAATGAATTTCTTTAGACAAATAATTTGGAAAGCAGAATTATTATTTTTTTTTTAAAAAAATCAATTTTAAAATAAAAGTTTTCAAATAAAATTTAAATTTTAAAATAAAAGCTTTGAGTTTATTTCCTCACAGTCATTGTAAAAAGAATAGGGGAGAAGGAGGTGGCTGTGAAGACTGTCCCTCCATGGGACACCACAGCCTCGATGGCCTTTCCTCACCCCACCCACCTCCTGCCACCTGCTCCCCCAGCATCCAGGGCCACCTCCCTGACCTCCAGCTTGCCCTTTCTTTGCTCCAGGTGATCTCCAGCTCTTCCCAGGCCTTCAGGGCCCTGGCCTGTCCACCCCCAACCTCACACTCACTGCGGCAGGTACTATCGGTGCCCACCTGGGTCTCACTTACCAGCCAGTGCTGCTGGGGTGGTAGAGCCCTCAGGCTTCATCTGGTCACACTGTTTATCCCAGGAGGTGGGCAACATGGTCTCTTCTGCAGCCAGAGTGGGCAGGAGCCAGGAGCCAGCCGAGGAGCCGTTCTCCCACCCAGCAGGGCTCAGCAAGTGGCCTGAGTAAAATAAATAAGTAAATAAAAAAGGCCCAGGAACTATCTTGTGAGTCAGGAAAGAGACAAATGAGATGCTTTGTCACCACAGAGGAGGACAGGCTGGGGTGGCACACAACAATAGGGCCAGCTCTTGTCTACTGAGCAGGGCTGTGTGCTCTGTGCACCATAGGCCCTCCCACGTGGCCTTGCAAGGACCCCATGAGGCAGGCACCAAAGGGAGCCTCTGAGGCCCAGGAAGAGCAGAGACTTGCCAAGGCACAAAGCTAAAAAGTGGGGGGCCCAGGACCAGAAACTCAGGTCCATCAGACTCCAGTGGACTCAGGATGCTGGAGTCCCCACCAACAGCTCTGCCGTGACGGACAGAGAGCAGAGCCAGGGCCACTCCTTTGGGGACTGCCAACTTGCCAGTCTTTGTTCCTTGTTCTCCAGGAGAGCCAGAGACCTTGGACAACCCAGGCCCCCCTCAGGTCCTGGCGCTCCGACCTTTGCCCCTGATAATGACACTCTGCCATCCATACTTGGTGCCTTTCCTCCTCCTCCCCTAGGCGAATTCACAGAGGAATCTCAAGATAACTCCCCGCTGCCCGGTAGAGGGTTGGGTTTTGCCAACACAATGTGAAGTAAAAATATCTCTCTTTTAAAAAAGAGTCGGAGAAAAACTCAAAGACTAGAGATCGGTAACATGTAATTATCATCTGGTTTGGGCGGAGAGTTCTAATAGCTTCCAGAAAAACACCAGCCATGGAAAAGGAGCACACTTTCCAAGCAGAGAGAGGCCCGCTCAGCAACAGCGGCGCCATCTTGAAGTCTGGACTTGCAGGCGCTCTCCAGGTGGCGAGGAGGATGGGCCGCCCTGCCTGCTCCTGTCCTCTCTGACCACCCACACCGGAAGGGAGTCTCTGAGCAGGAAGATGCTGCTTTGAACTCAGCCTCCATGGGCCTCCATGGGCACGGAACAGATCTGCAGAAGAGCCCTGAGACACCAGGAACAGCCAGACTTCTGCCAATAGCTGTTGTCCCCTATTTTAATGTAATAGAACCCCAGTTTTAGCTGGGCACATGGTGGCCCAGAATACAGACCATCTTTCCCAGCATCCCTTGCAGGTAAGGATCACAGAACTAGTCTCTGACCAACGGGATTATTAGTGGAAAGTATGGGCAATTTGCAATGTGTGTTCCAAAAAGGGAGATACCTGCCCTTCTTCCTTTTACTCCTTCCTGCTGGAAGGAATGCAGATGTGAGGTTTGGAGCTCCAACAGCCATTCTTGAACTTAAGGCAAACCTGGGAATGGAGGTTTCGAAAGGTTGAGAAACAAAGGGAGCACACCACTTGTGGACTGCCCTCTAGACTGCAAGAGGAAAAAGAACGACATCTGTGCTGTTGAAGCCACTGCTATCTAGGCTTGAAGACAACTCTCATGGTCAAAATTAGCTCCCAATTTTCTTAAATTGAGAGGAGGAACACAAGCTAATTCAAATCTTTAAAAGTGAGCATCCCACTCAGTGTTGTAGACGCTCTCAGCAGATTCATGGCTTCAGCTGCAGATGTGCGAGGAAGGCAAAGGTGGAACCCGCCCACATTAAGTTGTTTTTGTTCTCTTTCTTGCTTTTTGCCTGTTTGTGGCAGGGCCTATAGTTGTGTTATGGAACTGCAACACATACATTTCCAAATTTAGGCAAATTTTATGAGCACACAGTAAAGGCTGATGGAAATGTTTTTCTTATTTGTTATCTCTACTACTTAATAGCTAAAGAAACTGGGGCTCAGAGAGGTAGCCACCCACAGCCTGGGAACAGCAGAGATGCAGCTCAAAACTGCTCTGGAGAAGAGGGTGAGTGAGACAGGGCACCTCCCCAGGCGCTTGGCCTTCCTGGCACAGTGACTCATTTCTGGCTTCTAGGAACAAATCGGAGAGGCAGGGAAGAGGCTCCATGTGGCCGTCTAAGCTGTCCAGACGGGCCACGATGGGCCCTGGCCTCCTCCACTGAGTTTAGGTGACCTTCCTAGCAGCCAGGCTGACTCTCGGGATCGCGCTCAAGTCCCTCGGCTTGGCGGGGAGCCCACCAGAGACCTGAGCTCCACCACCGGCCTGGGACCTCACCCTAACCCTAACCCTAAGCCCTTCTCTCTGAACCCCAGTCTCTCCTTTGATCTGGAAGAGGTCACAGCGAACCGGCCAGGAGGCAGAGGGGCAATGGGAGGAACGGGGAGGCCCTGGAGGCGGATGGAGGGAGGTTCTCTCCGGGCGGTGGTGGGTTGTGCAAAGGCTGAGGACGGAACCGACCACAGGGTCAGCCAGAGAACCACCAGGGCGCTGGCTCCCAGGGCAGGACAGACAAGCAGCGGCGGTGGAATTCAAGGAGGGCGCAAGAAGGCGAAGGGGTGAAGCCCTGGGTCCGGAGGCCACGAGGGCGGGGGGTGTGTCCTGCGGCCGAGCCCCGGGCGGAGGGCGCGCGCCCCCTGCTGGCCGTCCCCCGCCCGCGCCGCGCCGCGCAGGGCCGTCTGGGGGCTCCGTGGGGAGCGCGCCGCCGTGGCTCCCGCGGAGGGACCTTGTCACCTCCGGCGGCCTTGCACGGGCCTTCAGTTCTGCAGGACAGGACAGTGAGGGCCCCTAGGGCGTGCTGTCCTGACGGACCTGCCCTGCAGCGCTGGCTCTGCACCCGGAAGCAGAAGCGGTCACCTGGAACTGAAAACATCCCCCGCTTGGCCGCACGAGGTCGCATTTGATTGGCCTCCGCGGTCCGGCGCTGGGACTTCCTTGAGTCCCCAACTTGCAGTCCGGCTGAGCACCTCAGCGCCCGCTCGGTGCTTGCTGTGCAGGCAGTGTCCAGGCAAACCCCGGCCGCCTGCTGCTTCTCAGCCGGGCGCAGAACCTCGGGGCGAGGGGTGGGGAGGGGGCGTGGGGACCCGCACACCCCCCAGCCCTCGGCCGCGGGCCACCAAGTAGGAACCTGCTGCACCCCAAACCCAGAGACTCCAGGGCCCAGTCCTCCGCAGCCCTTCTCCTCTCTGAACCCCAGTCTATTCTTTGATCTGAAGAGAACCGAGCTCTGAACTGCTTTGGGGTCACTGGCCCCTTTGGAAAATTGTGGAAGCCAGGGGTCCTTCTCCAGAAGCACATGTGTGGTGCCCGAGTGCTCTCGTACCTGTAGATGACGCCAGGGGCTCTGGCCAGACTGCTAAGCTGGATCACCCCCTTGGTTCTCACCAGCACCCCCAATGAAGTGGTGCTCTCAGGACCCCGTTTTACAAATGAGGAAACAGGATAAATAAGTTGCCCGAGGTTACACAGCTAGTACGTGGTGGGGCTGTTTGAACCCAAAATCCTGGCCTCCAGCGGGAGTCCTAACTGCTGAGCAGCGCTGTCCCAGGTGCCGCCCTGTGGTCGGTGGGAAGTTGGTGCAGGAAGGCAGTCATCCCACCCACAATTCTGAAATTAGGGAGCATGTTCCCATGAGCGTGGGGCCTCAGTTTAGTGTGTGGGCTGGGGGTTCACCATGCCTGACTTCTGGGTATCACAGATCAAATCCCTCAGTTTCCTCTCTGAAGAAAGAAGGCAGAGTCAGCCCCCCTCTGTAGCTGAGCTGGGGAGGCCAATGCATTGGAATTCACATAGTAGGTGCTTCTTAAAGTGGGGCCCCTGGAAAGGCAGGAACAAATGCAGAGAACCCACCCACCGAAGCATCCTGTCCTCCATGTGGGGCCTGGCAGTCAGCACTGGGTGCTGGGAGGGGAGGGAGGCCACCTCAGAGGCGCCCAGCCTTGCCAATCCCAGCTGCTGCCTGGCCACATCATGCTGGGGTCCACCCTCGCTCCCTCATGGGTCCTGCTTTCGATTCTGTTTCTTTCCGAGAAAAACCACACAAAGTTTCATTTTCTCTTTCTCCTGAGAGGGTGGGGCGGACTGGGCGTTTGTCTTTGGAGTGTGAGTCCTGACAGCTGTGGGCCGAAGCTGACAGCTTCCCTGTGGGTTCAGAGGTTCCCCGAGTGGGGGCTCAGATGCCCAGCCTCCTGCGGCTCACACCTGCAAGGCCACAGCACAGGTACCTGCTCCCAGGTCCACTGGGCCCCTTGCCTCTGCTGTGAGCATGGCCCAGGCTCCTGCTGACCCAAGCAAGAGAGGTAAGGCTCTTCCTCCTCCAGGGAGCACGGGTAATTCCTGGGGCTGGGGGCGGGTTCCTCCTTCTTTCCAGAGGTTGCTTGGCCCAGGTAATAGCAGTGTGTTGGAGAACAGGGGACGGAGTGGGGCAGGGAACCGAGCCATCCCTCCAAAGGCTCCTGTGTCTAGGTGCATGAAACGCCTCCAGTATCAAGGGCAGTGCTGTCCCATTTCCTAGATGGCACAACCAGGGCCCTGCATCGTGAAGTCCCCGGCTGTCACAGCCGCCAAGCACCAGTGGCTCTGCACAGTCATCTGAGAACCAAAGCTTGGTGCTTGGAAAAGAGGCACATGCTCCTGTTTTCTGTGGGTTATATTCTTTCCTTGGTGACCATTTTCCTCCGGAGGCCACCAGGGAGAACGCCTCAGCCAGCATGGAGGGCCGCTCCTTTCTAGGGGCCCCGCTAAGCCCCTGCGCACATGGGTGGTTTTCTTTTTTTTTTTTTTTTTTGCTCTTGTTCTGTGTTTTGCTGAATCCCTAAAGTCGCTGCTGTTGCCACAGTTTCACCTGTGGGGAAACTGAGGCACGGGGCGTGTGCAGCAGGGGCTCAGTTCACCAGAGATTAAAAAGGAGAAGCGAGCGCTGGGGAGGAGTGATGGCGGCCGGCTGTGACCCAGGAGCACTGGCCGTGACTAGTGCCCGCTCTTCCTGGTAGGACGCTGCAGGCACCGGGCAAGGAGTTTCTGCCTCCCCGAGCGACTTCCCTTGTTGCTGGGCTTGTCCCCTGCCCCTGCTCTGGTCCACAACCTCCCACTGTCAGACCCAGAGGCTCTCAGGCTTGCTTTGCATTCACCTCCCTGACCCCACCTGTCCTTTGGGGTCTGGGTGGCCCCGCAGCGCTCAGGGTGGGCTCCTCAAGAACTTACACTTTTTGCAAGACAAGACAAAGCCAGGTGCAGAGTTGGTTGGGTGCCCCTCCCCTGGGTAAACTTGGTGGGTGAAGGAGGAGTGGGTGAGCCTGATCCTCTCATTGCTCTCCACCTGCTCCCAGCAGGGTAGCAACATTCTGATCACAAGAACAAGCCCCAGCCCCAACTGTGGGGTCACAAGCTCATTACTCCGCCCCACAGGGGCCTCTGCTGGGGCCAGGGCCAGCTGACTGTCTGCTGATCAGGAAAGAAACCCCAGATGGCAGAGGAAGGGACTCAGGCAGTCCCAAGGAGAACCCTCCTCGCACCACCTGCAGTATTCTTAGGGGCAGAAACTTCCTGGTGACAGGCCAGGCCACCGCCCATGTGGCTCTCCCAGCTGCTCTTCCCTGGGCGTCACCCGTCACCTGTACACGGCATCTGAGTCATGCTGGCAGCTGGCAGCGCCCCTGGGGTATTTGTTTTTGTGTTAATGATGGGAGGTGATGGCTCTGATTTCCAGGCCTTGCCCTAGGAGGAGTAGGGGCTGTTTGCAAAGTTCTTCCTTGAGTCCCCACAAGGCTTAGGGCTCCTTGTGCTCAGACCAGGAAGCAACATGCCAGTGGCCCTGGGCCAACTGGGCAGTGTCTGTCCAAGCAGAGGACAAAGCATTCACTCATTCACTCACTCATTCACTCGACTTCCATTCCATGAGCACCTACTGTGTGCCTGGCCCTGGGCAAGACATCAAAGGTCTGACAGGGAACCAGGCAAACAACAGGGACCCCGTGGGGATGTTCTGCAGGGGACCCAGCCAGAGCAGCCAACACCAGCAAGCACAGGGAGGAGGGTTCCCGGAGGAGATGGCTCTGAGCAGAGGACGAGGAGATGCTGCACGGGTCCGAGAGGGTCTTTCCGAGTAGGGCCACATGCAGGCAAGTGGACTGGGAGGAGCACGGGGCCCTTGGAGAGAAGCGGGGGTCAGGTGCAGAGGAGACCCCAGGGAAAATGGCTGCATTTGGTGGACCCCACCATCCTGGAGATGGTGGTGGGGGCAGAGAAATGGGGAAGCACAGGACTCAAGAGAGACCTGAGTGTGGCATTTCAGGACTCCATGATTGGGCACCCAAGGAAAGACCTGCTTCCGAATGTCTGTGGGGCTTGTGGCTCGGATCAGAACGGCACCACTGAGGTTGACAGCAGGGGCATCAGAAGCACCGATGGCAAAGGCCCTGGGCCAGACGTGCCTGACCCCCTTCCACCCCCTGCTCCTGGGATGTGGCGAGCTGAGCGTTCCCACCTGCCCTGGTGCCACGCCCGGGAGGGCACATGGAGAGGGTGTGCACCTCCTCTGTCCCCGTCACCCGTCCAGCCCACGTGCTTGTCTCTCCACACAGAGGCTTTACTGGCTGCCATGGATGGTCTCTGCCCTGGACCCTACTCAAGAGGGGGCCTCCCTGGCCTCCTGGAGTCTTTGGCCCTCTCCACCCAGGGGACCTGGGGCTCAGTTCTCTCTGCCTTCCTCTCCTCCCAGGCCACCTTGAGCAGAAGATCCTGCAGGTATTGGGAGATGCCAGCTCCCCTCTGAAGTCCTACCAGCTGGCGAAGGAATGCCAAGTGCTCAAGAAGGAGCTCAACTCAGTCCTCTACCGAATGGCCAAGGAGGGGACAGTCTCCCAAGTTGCCCCCGCAACATGGCGCTTGGGCACAGGTGATCCTGGAGGTGTGGATCCCACCCAGCCTGCCCAGGACAGCCATGGTAAACTGCGTTCCTGGGTGGGTTGGGCCCACGGGAGACATCTGGGCAATAGACAAGCACAGATTTGGGCCTGGGTTTGAATCCAGTCTCTGCCACTTGGGGACATCTAATGTCCCTTGATTTTTTACTTTTTCTGGTCAATGGCGATGACAGTAGGGCCATTTCGTAGGAGCTGCTGGGAGGACTAGGTGCAGAGAGCCCAGTACCAGCAGAGTAGGTCACAGCAAAGCACACGTGGTAAGAAAAACAATGATGGCAACATCACAGTGACCATGATGGTGGCCGAGCACACTCAAGGACACCTGAGCCCACTTCTGGCCCCAGAGCCCTCGGACACCAAGCCTGACACTCAGTGGGCACCTACGCTCACCTGGCCTCACATACCCCAGAGCTGGAGCCTGCTCTCCCAGCCCGTGCCCAGCCCCGACCCGCCTGTCTTCCTCCAGCCCAGAAGCCCCAGGAAGAAGCAGCTGCCGCGGCAGAGAGTCCTGGCCCTCAGCTCAGCGAGCTGGGTAAGCACAGCCTCAGCTTCGTCCAGCCCTGCCGCCCCCCACCCCCAAGCCCTCCCAGAGGTACAAGGTGTCACCAGTGCTGAGTCCAGTCCTACCCAAGGGGCTCCTACCAAAGGTCCCGAGGCCAGAGTTGGTCTTTGCGGCAGCCCAAGAATCTAAATGGCCGAGAAATTGTTTCTCTGCCGCTTCTATGCACCTGCCAGGCGCAGGGCTGCGGCACCTGGCACACATCCTAGGTCACAGCTGCCCGCGGGGTATCCCTGCTGCTCCACCCAGGTCACGGGCCCCTGTCCCCAGATACACAGCCAGCGAGCAGCGGGCAGACCCACACTTGGGAACGGGGTCTCCTTAACCACCTAGTCGCCCTGCCTCCCAGAGGAAAGGATCTACGGGTTTCTGAAAGCCAACGGGCCCTGCAAGGCCCTGCGCATCGCCCAGGCCCTGGGAATGAGGACAGCGAAGGACGTGAACCCAACCTTGTACAAGATGAAAAGCAAGCACCTTCTGGACCAGGACCAGAAGCTGCAAGTGTGGCGCGTCTCTGCACCAGGTAGGCCTCCCCTGCTGTCCACGCGCTCGCACGCAGCACCCAAGAGAAGCCATCGCGCCCAGCACCCAGTCCTTGGCGAGTGTCCTTCTGAGTACTTTGCCTGCTCCCCTTCATTAGAACCTGCCAGAAGCTTCTAGAGGTCGCACTGACCGTCCCCTGGAGAAGGTTCCGGGAGAGAAAGTGCTGGCGGGCTGAGCCGCGATCTTGGGATTTTAAAGTTGGCCAAGAGAAGGTGAGGCAAGGCTCAGGCCCCTCAAGTGTGGCATCCAGGGCCACTTAGCCTCAGGCACCCAGGGCCTAGAGCCTCGGTCACCCCAGAGGCTGCAAAGAGGTTTCCATTTTGATTTCTTTTAAAGTCAGAAGAAAAACAAACATTTTAACAATAACGAACATCTAGGAATGAACGCAGCCTGGATGGTTTTTGTCTTCCTACCATGCAGTCATAAAGTATAATTTAATTTTATTTCCATATGGATGAAAGAGCCCACCCACAAAGACACCACGGCCAAGGGCCTTGGAGGTGGTGTTGTGGCTGGTGGGTCCGCAGAGCTGGGGAAGGAGCCTCCCCACACCCCTACAGTGCCCATGTGGGGTCAGCAACGTGGGGAAGGATTGATGAGGTGGGATAGCAGCTGGAGTTCAAATCGGTGACAAGTTCAAATCAATGTCACTAGTCATGGGGGGCATCTGAGTGTTTGATACAGGGGAGAGGCCCCTGGGGTTCAGGGCCTGGAGCTGTGGGTGCCTCCCGGGGGGGGGGACAGAGGGTAGGGAGAGAGGACGTGACTCCTGCAATCCTCCCAGGAGCCATCCTGGGCCTGGGTGGCAGGGCAGCAAGACACCAGGGGGGCCACCTGCCATCTTGACCCTGAGCTCCGTCTGTGACACCTGAGCAGCTGTCCATCATGTGAGGCTGGAGTCACCCCATGCAGGTTCCCAGATTCCCAGATCGGGTGCCTGGGAATCCTTTTAACAAACTCTCCAGGGAAATTTGGTGCTGCCAACTGGCATCTGGAGCCTCAGACCCCTAAAGAGGTGCAAGGGGATAGAGTGGAATATTATTTTGCAGAAGATTCTGAAGGAAGAAATCAATGTGCTGTAGCAGTGTGCCAGCAGAATCCAGTCTACATGATCTGCCAGAATGGACCCAACTGCCACATTACCATCACAAACTCTGAAGGCATCCAGATCGGACACGGGAACATCTTAATGAAGCAGAACGTCTCTGAGGGCAGCGGTAAGTCATCTGACAGGCACCCAGGAGGACGGACCTCAGAGGGCTTGTGGGGGGACTCAATCCTCCAAGGAGGAAGGACAGCTTCCCAATGTCCACGGCCCTCCTTTATAGCTGTTGTGAGAATGAGGGAGCCTGGATCCAACCTCTCCTGCTGTCCCTTCACTCCAATACCTTCTGCTCTTTTTAATGGAATGCAGTATTTTGAGAAATAATTCAATGAGAAATAATTCAGATTCTTCTTTGTCAGCAGAATATCACAAGTGCACTGTGGAAATATTTCATTTTCTCTGGACACACTTCTTTCCCCACATCAGCATGTGTTGGAGGTTGGGGTACAGGTCAGCAGAGACATGTTCATTTTGTTGAAATGCAGAGCTGCAGGCTGAACAGGCTCCATGCCAGGCACCAGGGCACAAGGATGCCAACTTCTTTCAGTCCAGCCCGGCACCCTGTGTGAGAACACCTGCCCCAAATTCAGACGCATCCCGTAACCTTGGGAGAGCAAGGCTCTCCCCTGGGCCTCAGTCTCCCAGATGTGAGATGAGGAACTTTGTTCTGATGTCTTGATGATCATCTCCCCAGTGTGAATCCTCCCATGTCACCTCCTCGATTTTGGCTACGTCCCTGTTTGTTTAATCAGTGCTGTTGAAGGGTTCACTCCCCACCCCCGACTTGAATATATTTTAAAATAAAAATTTTAGCTTTCCCCTGAGTTGAAAGCCACGAAGTTCACCATAAAGATAAATGTCCGGGAGATGAAATGACGTGTTGAGAACACGCTTACACCACGGAAGGGTCTCCTGATGGGATCAGAAGGCTGAGAAGGACCAGGAAGCAGGCAAAGGGTGACTACTGAGACTGCAGGTGTCCCCGTGGGACCCTGGGCAGGGCCCCACTCGGGACACCCTGGCTGCAGCTCCTTGGCTACCTGCTCTCCAGTCCAGACATCCTGGTGCCCCTCCTAACACTGTGTCACTGTTCTAGGTCCCACAGCTCCCAACCAGCTGCCCCCAACTGCCCCAGGTGATTCCTCGGCTCAGGGACCCCTGGCAGGTGGCTGGGGGTCCCAGGAAATCCACATGGAGCGGTCCCTGCTCAGACGGGTGCAGGTGGGACACAGCAACGAGATGAGCTTCCACAGAGACCTGCCGGAAGGTCCTGCCCACAACCTCTCATCCAGCCCCCCAGGTAACTGGAGTCCTGTGGCCACGTTCTCCCCCAGCCCCACTCAGTTCCTGGGGGGCAGGAACAGGAGCCAGAGTCTTTTCAGGGGGTCTTTTCCTTCCAAGAGACTGAAACCCTGTGGCACAGGTGGGGTATTTAGAGATGGCACGCTGGGTCCCCGTCCCCTAGCACCGACCAGCCGGAGACCGGTTTCCCCATCTGTAAGACCAGCACGTCCTCCCTGAGAAGCCGAGGCTGGCCAGCTGAAGCAGGGTCAGCACAGTGACCAGAGGCCCTGAGCCAGGGCCTCCCAGGCAGGGACAGACGGGATAGGGGGCCCGGGAGCAGGGGCCCAACTGGGGGAGAGGTCAGCCAGGGGAAGAGTGTGGGGTTCTGCCAGCAAGGGTCGGAGGTCAGGAGGGAGACCAGACTGAGTGTGGACAGCTCTTTCCAGAAGTCTGGGTGGAGGAGCCAGATGGCAGGGGTTGGGGCTGGGCGTGAGCAAAACCAAAGGTGGAGACCCTGACCCAGCCCTGCCAGGAAGCAGAGAGATGAGATGAGGGAGGAATCACTGGGGCCCAGAGAAAGGCTGAGGTGCCAGGTCCTCTGGGGGCTCTGGAGGACAGGAGGAGTGGCTGCCTGGTGGTGAACAGGGCGTGGGCATCGGTTGTTGACTGAGCCAGGTGGCCACTGGTGAAGTCAGCAAGGAGGACTTGGAGCCAGGCTGGGAGCTGGGCTCTGGGGCCACCGTCCAGCTGCCCACCCTCCGGCGTCTCTTTGGCTGGTGCGCAGTCTCAGCCACGGCCGGTGACGGTGACTCGGAAGCTTCATTTGAAATGCGAATGCCCCAGCCAGACCCTCATCCCAAGGCGGACGCAGTCCAGAGAGTCCACATCAAGTCCTGCTTCCTCGAGTACACCACCATCGGCAACAGCAACAGGATGACCGTCCTCCCAGCAGGCCCAGAGACCGCCAGCCCAGGTGCAGCCGCGGGGCCTGGAGATGGCCGGCAGGACCCCGGGGAGCTGAAGGAGGGCGCAGGTGGGCTGGTCCCCTCCCCTGGCCCCCAGCCGCCCATTTCCCAGGGCTGGGAGCAGGGTGGATGATGGTGAGGACAGGTGGAGTGGCTACTGACGTCACCTCTTCCAGTCCAGAGCCTCACTCTCGCTGGGCCTCCGACCTCTCCTCTGTAAGGGGGTGACAAGAGCAGCGTCGTGACCCCCGCAGGCCTTGTGAGGAGGGGATTGGACGAGCAGGCGAAGTGCTCAGCTGCCTGCCCAGCCCAGGGCACGGTCAGCAGCAGGAGGTGCAGTCATTAATGTGACCTTGAGAGGCGCTGGACACCACAGCCAGCGAGACTTTTGGGGGGTGGGCGGCCCTGCAGCAGCCACAAGGCCCCCGGGCATGAGTGTCACCTGCCCAGAGCTCAGGCCTCTTTCAGGACCTGCTGGGGTCCCGGTTGGGTTGTCCTCGAGGTCATCTACTGACCTGAGTCCTTCTCTGCTGATGCTCAGCTGTCCCAGGACTCTGTCCTGACTGTGGGGTTGAAACTGCCATCAGCCGGGAGAGGGAGGAGTGGTCACAGAGCGCTGGCCACCCCCTGGGAGGTAGCTCACCTCCCTCTTCTGCACCCACTCCAGGGGCCTGCATGTGGCCCCAAGGTGGGCTGGGCAGCCTGGGCCCAGCTGAGTGTCAGCAGAGGGGTCCTTCTGCCACAAGAAGAAGAGAAAGGACATGCGCAATTAGCAATCCTGCCATGTTCTGCCCCTAGGGACGTGACCCTCTGGCTCAGAGCCAGGGGTTCCACTGTGCAGGAGAAGAGGGTGCCGGGGCTGAGGGGACCGCTCGAGGTGGGCACAGGCTGGGGAGGCGTACCTGGTGGGCAGAACAGCGCAGGCAACAGCCCAGAGGCGAGGACAAGCGGGTGGGGGTGTGCATGCACCAGAGCCCAGCTCCAGGCTGCAGAGGGGGTGCTGTGGGAGGGGGGAGGCAGTGGGAGCCAGAGAAGGGCCTGGAGCTGGGGCGGGCGGCTGAGGTTCTGCTTTCAGCGTGGAGAAGGTGGTGCGGGGGGATTCAGCTCCCGGTCTTCCAGGACTTGGGATAAAATCTCACCAGTGGTCACAAAACCAGATTGGCAGACTCTAGTGGACAGGCCAGCCTCCATCCGCCGGCCTCTGCAGTCGAGGGTCATGTATCCCAGGTCCTGAGGGTCCGTCCTTGAAGCCCCAGCACAGTGAGCAGACCCAGGCCTCACTCCCACCTTCCCACTTGTCTCCAGGACCCTGGGACGTCCCGGGAATCAGTGAGACCACGTAGGGCCTGGGGGAGGGGCGAGTTCCCGGGCCAGGCAGGGAGCCTCCTGCAGATGCAGAGGGGCAGTTGGGGAGGCCAGGGATGGGGTGGATGTGTGGCTAAGGAGCTCCTGCCCAGCGGAAACCTGGGAAAGCCCTGGGCTGGGGACAAGGGTGGCCGGCTGGTGACCAGGCAGAGGCTAGGGAGCAAGAGGGCTGACCCCCTGGGCCCAGGGCCGTGGCTGTGACAGGGGCGGCCGCGGCTGGAGGCCCAGGTGAAAGCCACATCTTATTTGGAGTGAGCGGGGGGCAGCCACTGGGCAAGCAGGGACCGTGGTGAGGTCCGGGGTTTTACCGCCCCGCTGGAGGCCATCCGGGCAAAGCCAAGGGCCTGAGGGGAGCCGGAGCTGCCGCAGTGTTCAGAAAGGGCTGGGCCTGGGAGCGAGGACGCTCAGGTGTCCACTGGGCAAGGAGGGGACCATGGCCTCAGTCCCCAGTTCTCTGGATGGCCTTGGTTACTCCAGGGGCCTCGTGCTCCTTCGATGATGTCTTCTCTTCCCACAGATCCCAGTTCCGAAGCCGAGCCGTCCACAAGTGAGGTCCCCGAAGATGGGGGCCAGGAAGCCCCGGGCAATCCTGCGCAGCTCACCCCCAAGCTGAGGGAGATGACCCTTGGAAACAGCAGTCCCCCCGCTGCAGAGCACAGTGTCTCTGTGGGTGGACGCAGGGAGCTGGAGGGGGGCGAGTAGCAGGGACCTGGGGCTGCACTTGGGAGGCGGCAGGTGCCGGGGAACCTGCGCAGGGTGTCTTGTCTCATGGACTCTGGACCTGCCCGCTGCCCACATCTGGCCAGCAGGAGCCGGCTTTCAGGGTGGGCTCTCTGTTCTCTCTGGGGCCTGGGCAGGTCCTGCCTCTTGGCCTTCCGCTATGGCTGCCTGCGCGGGTCTGAGCACTTGTGCGCTCACGTCGCAAACTCATGTCTAAGCTCCCCCAGAGCCGCAGCAATGGGGGGGGCCTGGCAATGACAGACCCTCGTGACAGAACGGGCGCCCTGACGGGAGGCTGAGGGAGCTGGTTTCTCCCCTTTGCGCACAGCCTCCCTCCCTGGGAGGACACAGCAACAAGTGCCATCTTCAAAACAAGCAGCCCTCGGCACACGGAGCTGTGGCACCTTGGTGTCGGCCTTCCCAGCCCCCTGAGCTGTGAGCATTAAACTTCTAGTGTTTATAAAGTGCCCAGTCAGAGGTGTTTTGCTACAGCAGCCGGATGCACTGAGACACCCACCCACACTCTTCTCTTCCCTGAAGTCCTGCCTTCAAGGACTGTCATGCCCACCTGACCTCTAGAATCCTCCCTTCTCTAGAATTGATCTAGGATTCCTTAGTTGAACTCTCAGAGAGCAAATTGCTCCCTGACCTTCTGCCGTCCCAAGCAAGTCTTTGGCTGGCCCAGGGGTCAGGTGACCTTCTCTGACCAATCAGCAGGGACTGGCCAATCTGAGTCACAGGGCTGATCCTTGGAACAAGGAGGCCGTCAGCGGGTCCCCCTTACTCAGCCTTCGTGGGACCGCTGGATAGGCAAGAACCTCAGGGGTCCCCTCCAAGGCTGGGGACTTTACGGGGCTCTGTGGCCCTGTCTGTTCACTTTCACACCTCCAGGGACAGCGACTGTGGGACAAAGCTCCTTGCCGGCCACCTGCTGCAAGCCGAGCCCTGCTTGGGGCTGCAGAGTGGGGAGAAGACCCACCCTCGTGGCGGCTCACGGTCAGGAGCCGTGACCGTCACAGGAGACATGGGACAGTGAGGCACACAGCCCAGGAGGCCTCTCAGGGAGCAGAGAGCCCTGGAGCCCCGTCTGCCAGGCCACACTGAGGGGCAGTTGGTGGGATGGGAATGGCGCTCCAGGCAGGGACCGCCCTGGCCAAGGCGTGGAGGCCGGACGGGCGACTTACTCAGAGACTGCAAAAGAGTAGGGTGGCCGGGAGCCCACAGCAAGGAAAGCAGGGGACCGCGTTGGGCCACTCCCAGGAATCAAGGGAAGCCAGGAGGCCACCCGGCGGCCCGAGAACCCAGCGGCTCTGAGCCTGAGGCAGCTGCGGTCATCACGGGAGCAGGGCTCCTGTCCCCCGAGCTGGACGGCACAGCCCTGCTGGGGAAAAGTCACTGCAGCCACGCCGGGGGCTGGAGCCTCCAGATCACATCAGATACCAGCCACCAAGTCGGAGGGCTTACAACTGCGTCTGGTTCTCGGCTCCGGGACTGACTGCCTTCCGCATGAGCTGGGGACCCGTAGCCAGCCTCTGCGCGTTCCTGAGGGCGCTGGTTCCCCGGGCTGTGGGAGGCGGGAACACCACGGCTCCCACTCCAGCCCAGACCAGAGCATCCATTTTTCCTATGAAATCTGCCCTCTCTGCATAATTAATTTGTCATCAATACTCTGGCAAAGCATCACTGGCAGCTAATGGGGGCTGGAGGTAAAGGTCAGCGCTGGTCTCTTCGGGAAGGAAATTGACTAGTCACTATTAAAAGCAGAGAATGAGCAGGTTGTCCGTCCCCGCCTCGGTTCTCCCTGTCTACCTGCCTGTCCACCCTCCCCCCTGGGGGATACCTGCAGAGGAATCCTGCAGCCCCCAGAGGGGTGGGGATTTGTTCCATGAACTGGAAATGCGTCTCCAAACCCACACGACCTGCTCAGAGGGCGATTCTGCGTCTCATCCCAGCTCTGCTCCCACTCAGGGGGACCTCTCACCTGTGGTTTCAGAAGACAGCCGGGACCAGAAGCCTAAAGCAGGAAGAGCCCAGAGAGGCGTTAAGGAGCACTTTGGTTCATGTGACAGAAGCCTAGTTTACCCAAGCTTAAACAAAAACTTATTTGCTCATGCAACTGGGAAGTCAAGGGACTCCGAGGTTCAGGAATGGCTGGATCCAGGGGCTCAGTCCTATGCTCAGGCTTCTTTCTTGCCATCTCTCTAGAGACTCTCTATGTGGCTCAGCTGCAGCACCCAAGGCTTAGGCCACCAGCTTAGCGACCCCAGCAGAAAGAGCCGTCATCAAATCAAACACTGTCTGTAATGTCCCACGGAAGATCCTGATTGGTAACTCCAGGTCACATGCCACCCTTTGAGCCAATGAAGAATGGAGTGCTCAGCTTGGTTACTGGGGTCAGATGTGCTCCCCAAAGTTGTGGGGGAGTCACCCTGTGGGCTATGTCCCCAAGAAAGAGAGGCTCTGTTACAAGAAAGGGGCGGAGGAGACAACTAGCAGAAGCCAGGCCACTGTAGCCCCGGGTGAGGGTGCCCCTGCACCAGCTGGCTTTACTGGAGGGACGACGGGGAGGTGGCTCACTCTGAGGACCCATGTGGCCTTTCCATGGGTCCCTGTGAGGGAGGGGGCGGCAGTCTCCCACCCTTCCTTGGCCTCAGGCTGCACAGGGGAACGGTTTCCTTACCCAGAGGTGGCAGATGCCATTGATGGGCACAGGACAGGGACTAGGTTCTGTCAGTGCTGCCCAGCCTTCCTTGTGACCCTCCTGCTCCTCTGTCCCCACTAGTGCAGCACCGAGAATCCTCTTTGTCCCCTTCACAGACGCTCTGTGGGACCAGAGAGCAACTGGTGGTCATATGGGGCTTTCTTTTCGTCTTCAGGGCTGGACATTGAAACCAGGGCCACGGGCAGGGGACCCAGCACGGGGCGCCATCCCCAGCCCCCCCAGGCTGGGCTTTAAACTGGGCAGTAGGCACTGTGAGATGGGTGGGGTGGGGGGCGGCGGTGACCTGTAAATTACAGATGACCCTCCTCACGCCCTCAGCAGCCCGGGAGGACAGGTGCTGCCCCCACGGGGCAGGGATGGCGGCTCCGCAGGGGAAGCTCAGGGGGAGGAGGAGAAGTGTAATACGGACATGGAAAGGCTTTAGGCCGTCGAAGGACTAGAAGAAAAAGCCGAGAGGAGGCTTCCAGGGAGCGGGTGAAGATGTGCTGGTAGGACGGACAGTTCCAGGGGACGGGGGAAGCCCTGAGTCTCAGAGGCCGAAAGCGCAGGGGGAGTGGGGCGTGGGAATGATGCAGAGGACCGTGACTTTGTGGAGGGAAGGACACTCTGGTGCTTGGTCCAGGAGCCAGCCAGGCCCCCGGGAGGGTGAGGCTTCAGAAAACCCCGGGGCAGAGTCCACACAAGTCCAGAGGGGAAAGGAGCGAGGTCACTTGCAAAAGATAAAGGAAGAAGGAACCCGGAGTCCAAGGGGTACAGGGCCCCACGCAGCCACGTGGCCAGTGGAGGGGAGGGTGGACCCCAGAAGATCTGCCCGGGAGGGAGGGGGGTCTGGGGGTGTTCCTTGCTGAAGCTGCTCAGGCTGCTTTGTCAGGAAAAGATGGTGGTGCTCTCTCCTCATCCAGGGGCACGCTGAGAGGGACCACTTAGGAAGGGGCCCCGTGCGGGGCGTGGTGAGAAGCTGGGGGCCTGACACTGCGAGGAGACTGTAAAGTGCCCGGGGCCGGCCCAGTCTGGAGGCTGGCGATTGCTTAGGGGTTCATCTATAAATGTAGTGGGATACCGCGCGTCTATCGGCAGTTTTGAACTAAAACAAAAAGCAGGACTTGCAAACCAACAGAGCTCAGGTCGGGCGTCACTCAGCAGTTCAGGACCAGGTGGTCAAGTACGTGCTGTCCCTCATCTCTGGCTCCCCCAGACTCAGCTGTCTCACGTTCCAAATGGAGACACTCCAGCCACAAAGAGTTCTGCCCTGCTGGTGTCAAAGTGGCTGCCATGGTTCCAGACTTCACACTCCCAGCAAAGACCAGAGTGGCTTCTAAACCACTCCAGGATTCACAGTTCCTCCTGGCCACGTGGATGAGAGTCCTTAGCTGTAGCCAGTCTGGACCTAATTCTGAACTTGGGGGAGCTTAAATACATGTGACCTCCGGAGCTCAGAGTATTTTCAAAGTACCTTTATTCCCCCTCTTAGTAGCTGAGGAGATTGGGTCTGGAGTGGGGGGGAGTGGCTTGGTCAAGGCCACACGGCTACTAAGTGAAACTGCCCACTTCAGCCTTTGAGTTCATAACCAGAATTCTCCAGCCCCGATGGCCAGCCCACCACCCCGGACCCAGCCCTCCCACGTACTGGCTCTGCCGGGGACAGCACAACCAGGTCAGCCCATGGACAGCCAGGCTGTGTCCAACGAGGGGGCAGCAGGACCGGCATCTTGTACTCTGTGAAGACACTCCTCCCACAAGAGGCCATGGAATAGGGGTTCCCTGGACAGGCAGGCTGCGCAGGGTGGGTGGTTCTCAGGAATCCACTGCCCAGGGGGTAAACCGAGGCTCAGGGAGTCAAAGCCATGGTCCAAGGGACAGAGACCGGTCTGGAACCCAGGCAAGTTCTTAGGATGTGGAAGGACAGGACCAAGGCTGCAGCCTGGCTCTGCCCACCTGCCCCCACCTTTTGAGGTCAGCTCTGCCCTTGTGTCTCGCTGGCTCCTGCACGCCCCACCCCCACCAGGATCCCCAAAGTGGCCTCCATCAGTTCTGTGTCCACCAACCAGGAGAGGGTGACAGCCCTGGGAGCAGGAGGGTCAGAGGGCAATGGCTGCCCAGCTGAGGCTTCAGAGCTGCCTCTGGGAAGGCCGTGCGCCCCCAGCTCCCCTGGCCTCGGCTGGCAGGCTGCGGCGGCAAACCTGCTCCTGCGCTCCCTGCCGCCCCCGGCATCCCATGTGAGGGCTCCGGCCCCCTGCCTCCCTCCCCAAGGACCCTCCTGACAGGCGGCCTTGGGTGTCCCAGGTAACCGACCTCCCCCCGGGGGTTCTCCACACAAGGGGACCTCGGGCAGCCTTGGGGACTAGGACACAAGTGTTGTGGGAGGGCGCCCTCCTGCAGAGCAGCCTTGAGGGCACAGCAGAAATAACACTCTACCCCAAGCGCCAGCCCCAGACTGAGGACGCGGGTGGCTGGTGGTATGGCAGGTTGCAGTGGGTGGGCATGGTATCACGCTGCAGGGGCACGTCGCTGAGCATGACCACATCAGGTGCCGTCCCCTCTGACCCTCAGTTTCCTCCTCCAGGAAGAAGAAAAGCACCTTCTGCGCGGTCAGATAAGAGGGGCTCTTGTGGGGATCCCAGGTCACCCTGCACCTACTGATTGACAAAGGTCTCCCAGTGGGGGCCCAGGCAGGGCTTCCTCAATGTGCCTCGCAGCCCCAGGTGGGGACCTCTGTGCCTGCCATTAACTGGCACACCAAGCCTC